GGCCTTCTCTGGGGTACGGCATGTACTGCAGCGTGCAGGACTGGTCCTGGACCGGTGGTGTCCCGGACATAGAGGACTCAGTCCGCATGACTCTGTTGCCCTCCGCATCCGTGTGGCCCGGCGCCAGACCTCTCCTTCCCTCTGAGCGGGACAGGATGTCGTTGGCTATGCTGGACAGGTGTTATGCCAATGCGGCTCAGGTCGTCGCATTGGCAAACAACATTCAGATTCAGATTCATTTATTTGCCATTTGCAGTAAAACCACATGGGAAAAACTGTGCAAGACTACCCCGGTGTGCACCAGGACGGCACACACCAGAGCTCTTGCCACGGCGCCATCTTTACGGCGCCTTTATCACGGGGGCCCTGGATAAGTCGCTCTCCGCTGGCCAGGCGCTCAGCGGAGACCTCCTGTCAGAGGCTAGGACCACCTCCGCGGCGCTCCTGCGCATGAGCCAGGCGTTTGCCGTGGATGGTGGCCGCACCATGGCTGCAGCCCAAGTCGGGGCCAGGCACCTTTGGCTTGGGCTGGCTAACATCAGGGAGGCGGAGAAGAGGCAACTGCTGGACCTGCCTGTTTCCCAGACGTCCCTCTTCGGCCCTGATATGCAGGCCCTGGTGGAGAGACTGGAGTCTGCAGCCAAAGACTCGGCTAGGCTAGCCCCGCACCAAGCTCCAAGGCGTGAAGGCTGGTGGCAGAGAGCGCTCGCCCAGGAGGCGGAACCTCGTAGACCTGGGTCTTCCCCGGCGGTGGTGGAGACTATTCAGGGGGCGAGGGCGCCTTCCACTGTGAGGGCCTACACTACCAGATGGAGGCTCTTCAGCGACTGGTGCGGTTCTCGCTCCTGGGATCCCAGGCGCTGCCCTTTGGAAGGAGTCTTGGGATTCCTGCAGGAACTATTTGACAAAGGGAGGGCTGTCGCCACCCTGGCGGTGTTCGCGGCAGCCATTACCTCGGGTCACGGCGGTTTGGGGGGTTCACGGCCCGTTCTCATCCGTTGGTCAAACGCTTTTTGGGGGGGGGCCCACAGGAGGAGGCCCCCGCTTCAGAGAACACCCCCGGTTTGGGACCTCAGGGTGGTCCTTAGGGGTCTGTCGGGCCCGCCTTTTGAACCGGTGTCGCAGGCGAGTCCCGAGTGTGTGGCTTTTAAGACTGCCCTCTTGCTGGCGTTGGCGTCTGCTAAGAGGGCGGGCGACTTGTGTGCGCTCTCCGTCCATGCGTCTTGCCTGTCCTTTGGAGAGGGTGACGGACTGGTGGAGTTGTGGCCCAATCCGGCTTTTCTCCCTAAGGTCTCTGGCCTTTCTCGTCCTTTGGGCTTTATTAAAAGACCACTTGGGGTAGCCACATCTGGAAAGTGCTCTCTGAACATGTTTGGTACACAGTCCAACAGACAGAGGAAAGTAGGAGAGGGGTGTCCTTACCGTATGTGGCGGGAGTTTCACAGAAACTACAAAGAATCTTTAGGCAACACAAAATCCCTGTGTATTTCAAACCTTTCAACAAGTTAAGACAGAAATTAGTGCATCCTAAAGACAAAACACCCAGAAACAAACAGAGCAATGTGGTGTATTCAATTAAATGTAGTGAAGAGGAGTGCACTGACCACTATATTGGAGAAACCAAACAAACTCTACAGAAACGACTTTACCAACATCGTAGAGAAAACTCTAGTGGGCCACAGTCGGCTGTTCATCTCCACCTCAAAGCCTCCAACCACACGGTGGATGACACCAAGGTTAAAATTTTGGCTCGGGAAAAGAATTGGTTTGAGAGAGGGGTGAAAGAAGCCTTTGTGAGGAAACAAAAACCTTCTCTTAACAGAGGAGGAGGGTTAAGATTTGTTTTGCCTCGCATCTATGACGACATCCTAAAAACAACGCCCTAACTTGGGACAAGGTCAGTGACATGCTAATGAGTTAGGGTCGTTAGCCTCAGCAGGGTCGTTAGGGTCGCTCCCTTCTACATCAAACAGACCTTAGATTATTTATGAGTTAGTATCAGGATTAGGGTGTGGCTAACCACACCCGGTCTGAGAATTAATTCCCTGAAGAAGTCCTCTAGATTGAGGACAAAACGTCGGGAAAATTTGCTAAGAAGTACAGATGATGGGTGAGAAACCTTCCTTTGCTATGTAACTTAAGTTCTACGAATAGGTGCGTAGTCCCTTAGCTACGAGCCCATAAGGCCAGCCCGGCTTGGCAGAGTTCAAGAGGGGGCGCGGCTATGGTCCTTTTATAGAGGAGGGTCGCTAGTGATTGGAGCATTTTTCAATTGATCTCTCTGGCGTCTGTGACCTGGGGGTCACGTGATATCCCACTAGCGAAGTCCGCTAAGGGACTACGCACCTATTCGTAGAACCTAAGTTACATAGGTAACTATTAATTACATGCAGTGAAATGATGATTGAGCAGAGTGTACGGATGGATATGGCCAGGCTACTGGCAAGGCAATGTTGGTTTCCCTTAGTTTTGTGCATAAAGCCCCATAAACGCAATTGATCTTGCTCAAAACTGCTCATTCACTGCCCTGTTCTCCGTATAGCAGAGATAGGATGCAACGCGCATGTGGGAAATGGCTCATTCATTCATTTATTATTTATTTATTTACTTCTAAATTTCAGGAGATGAGTGCTGCAGTGGGTCTAGACACTAGGGAAAAACGCGTATATATAATAGAGCGTACAGTATATATAATAGAGGGTATATATATATATTTTTAAATGTGAATAATCTCAGGAGTGTGTGTTTTTTGAGGCTTCCAGTCTTCCTAGCCGACTTCCTGCTGACCTGTCGCAAAAACAGGGCGTGGAACAGGCAGTTTCTGAATATTTCTAGGCGTGACTTTCATAAATACGCTGGTTTTGAGCGCGGCATTTATCAACAGCCGCAGGTGCGTACGCTCAGATCTGTGGGTATCTCAAACGTCCTCCTGGGAATGGCAGGATATTACAGAAGTTTCTGCCAAAATTTCTTGTCAGTGGTTGTCCCGCTGACTGCCTTATTGAGTCCTAAGGTTGAGTTTAAATGGATTACTGAATGTCAGTCCGTGTTTGACAGTGTAAGTCACTGCTGTGTCATGCCCCTGTCCTTGCTGCTTCGGACCCTTCGCGCCCCTACAAGCTTGAAGTGGACGCTAGTGGAGTGGGAGCAGGTGCAGTCCTGATGCAGGAGGATGCGAGTGGTGTAAACCATCCGGTATGTTACTTCTCCCGCAAGTTTAATACACACCAGCTCAGCTATTCCACCATAGAGAAGGAGACTTAGTCACTTTTGCTTGCTCTTGTACCTTGGGTGTACCTTGGGTCTAGTTCTGTGCCAATCGTTGTGTTTATTGACCATAACCCTGTAACCTTATTGTCCTGCATGTATAATCACAACCAGAGACTGATGCGGTGGGCCTTGATGGTGCAGGACTTTCCTTTAGAGATTCGCCATAAGAAAGGATCGGAGAACGTGTTTGCCGATGCCTTATCCAGATAAGTGTGGTGTGACTTCATTATTTGTGTGTGTTCTAATGTTGTGTTTGTTCAGAAGTTGTACTGTGGACAGTATTTTAAGAGGTGGGGTGTTACGGCTCCAGATCTGGGCCGTTTGCGCAAGCATCCCCTCCCTCTCTTGGTGCGTCTCTCTTGTCTGTCTCGTTCCCGCCGGCCCTAGGGCTGCCATTCACCTGGAACCCTCCTGTATGGCCAATAGGAGGTCCGGCCGAATCAATCTGCGCCACCTGCTGACCTGCCCCCGGCCAATGAAACAGCAATGCGACGTCCGGATAGGGTTGTCAACCATCCCTTGAAATACGGAATTGTCCCGTATTTTAGAAAAACTATGCGCGTCCCGTATTGAACTGATACGGGACGGCTTTTGTCCCGTATTTTCAGAGCCAGCTTAAATGCATCAGTCACTCACTGCATGTCACAGGCGCGACACACGCACACACACACACAGTAATGATCACAGTTTAAGCATCTACCTTTCGGCCAATCAGTGTCAAAGGGGCGTAGGCTTCATCACAGACGTTGGTTTAATGTTGACAATCGCCAGCGTGGGCCGTGCCCGCAGCACCATCACGGCAGAAGTTTGGTAAAGTAGCGTCATTTTCCAAAATTCGGACTTCCGCGGGCAATAGCTCACGAAAGCTACTTTGTTAAACAAAAGTAATTGTGCTAAAATGATCATCTCTACGTTGATTTTACAAATTCAATGCGCTGTTTTAATGCAGAGAAATCCTCTGAATCCAATGCACTGCAAGCGCCGAGAAAAGCACTTGGGGACCGTCAACAAATATCCAGACCAGCTTTGTAAACAATCGCTTTTACTGAAGCCACAAACCTGCAGTACCTGCACAAAACTCTCAGACAATATAAATAATGGTGACCATATTGAACAGCTACAGACTTTGATTTGTGAGTTTTATTAATGAATACATATGTTTTCTTTTTTTATTTGCAAAATTGGTCTTTACTGTAACATTCATAAATAATGTATGTTACAGTATTTGTCTTTTTTTTATTACTAATAAGAATGCATTAAGTCCTTAACCAGCCAAAGAGTTCCACCTATTTATTCAATTTCATTTTTGACTAAGGATTTGTTTTTTTTTTTATATGTAGTCAATAAATTACAATCTAAAAACTGTGTAGACTGAAATTAGGACTAAAAAGTGCTCAACCCGATCCACCCAAATGGTGTCCCTTATTTTTTTGTTCTCAAGTTGGCAACCCTAGTCCAGTGGGGGCTAAAATCAGTGCTAAACCAGGTCAAACCAGGTCTGATTCAGACCTAACCTGGGGACACAATACAAAATGGAAAGTTTGAGAAGATTATGTTCAAATGTTATAAAATTGCAGTGTAGTGAATTGCATTGCAACACATTTCTCAATCATGTACAAAATAATCTGTAAATTGAAATTACGCATTTTCTTATTTCCAGTTTTTAACAGCAGCAGAGAAGAAGCCGAGATGAAGATACATTTGTCCAATCAGAGAGTATCACAATGACGTCATCTACAGGGCCCGCGTCTGAGTTTGACATCGTCCACGGCAATCTGACTGCGGTGACCTCGCCTCCGCTCGGCCTTCACCAAAATCTGCCACACAATTCATCAATTCTTTATTTGTTAAAAAAAATCAACACACAAACAAACAGCAAGACTCTTTCTGTTGGAACAAACAACATTATTGATAAAAAAGTTATGCACTTCAGCATATAGAAGTAGAACATATATGAATGAATAAACAGGAAAGATTGAGTTTGTCTAAGCAATGATGAGGGGGTTATGTAATCTTGATTAAATGCCTGTGTTCTTTCAGAAAAATGCATCTCATTTGTATTCAATACAATTTCTCACATCACTTGAATGAAATTTGATTCATGATTAATAATGATTGATAATTTGAGAGTAGTAGATGCAAAGTACTGACCCGGTCGACAGAGTTTTTGTCCAAAGTGACCTGAGTTTGTCTCCAGCCATGTCCCCCAGTCCTGCTCCACACCGCTGAGCCATATCTAACGTAAAGAGGAAAAGAACATAAAATATGCTGATTAAAAAGTTCACTAACATCTGGCCACTTTGATCATGTGCACATAAGGTATGCCATTTTAGGACTGATGATTCTACAGTTGCTAAATTGACTTACTTGATTTACTTTATGGTCTAGTTTGTGTGCTGACGTCATCCATAGCCTTTGCAAGTGGCCAAGTGGAGCTAGCTCGAACAGGCTATTTGAGTGGCACATTTTCAAGATTCAAGAGATTCAAGATTAATTTATTGTGTCCTGTAGGAAATTTGTCTTGGACTCACAGGCTGCTAAATTGAAAATACACATAAGACACACATAAAACACAACAAAGTAACAGACATAAACCATCACCTCTCTGCTCAATGGCCTGCATTCAGGAGGTTCAAAAATATGAGTCGGAACGAGTTTTGATATCTTTTCTTATTTCTCGTTGGATGCTACCTAACTCCCATAACCAAAAGTGCTGGGCGCACCAATTTGTAAAGTTCTGCTTTTTAAAAAAAGCATGATAAATTTCATTTTTCATTTCATTTTCAACCCCTTTTTTGTCCATTTCTGGGTCAGGGGGGTGGCAATGAGAGCTGCCACCCAATGCTCATAGCACCAGTCCCTCGCTGATCTTCTGCAGGGGGTGAGTCCACAGGAAGTGTCTTGCCCAAGGACACAACGACAGCAGTCATCAGTGGGATCAGTTGGAGTAGGTCCCATGGTGGGAATCGAACTCACGACCTCCAGGCCCAAAGGCCAATGCTCTACCAACTGAGCTACTTGGAAAGTCGCAGGTGGTCATGTTCATTTACACTTCGTGCCTCTTGGTTTTATGCTTTAGATGCTGGAAGTCACTTGCAGCCATTACGTCTTGAACTAAGTAAAGAAATAGCGTGTGAATTTGAAGGTGTGGTTATTGGAGATGTTGTTCGAGCACGAAGCCATTTATGACTCAGTAAACTGTGCTGTCATCTCCAACCGCTCTTGACCCTCCAGGGGGTGCTGTGTGAGGCACATCTGATGTGTGTCTGTGGGGAGGGGGCTGTGGACCCCCCCTTTCCCCCTCTCACAGACTGCAGATGGACTGCTCTGATTGGCCAAATGCTTTTGGCTGTTGGCACAGAACTCCTGCAGCAAGAAGAAGAACTATCTGTGATTTGAAAGTCATTTGAATTTTGAGAATTTTGCAGCATTTAACTTTTCACAAGTATAACACTGAGGCCCTTTTTACTTTAGTGCGCTGGTAATGCGTTGGAGTTGTATGCATGTTTATGCTATACAAAAATAGATACTGTGAGTTTATATTGGATTGCTCTAGTGAAGTACCTCAGTTTTTCTTCGCAACAACAGCTTACAACAAGTTTGTCACAGTGAATTTGTATGATTTAATTTCCAGAAATTAAGTTTATTCTGTCTTCACACATATCACACATTACTTGAGTTATTTATTTGATATAGGAGAATTGGATCAAAAACAAGGGCAGCATACAAAGAGGTCATTTTCAAACCCTCGACAGTTCACTCTGACCAGCTGGACTATGGAGCCATTATTGTTTCAATAATATTTGTGTGTGCGTAAACAGATTTGTGTGTGCATAAAAAGATTTGTGCATGCATAACCAGATTTGTGTGTGCGTAACCAGATTTGTGTGTGCGTAACCAGATTTGTGTGTACGTAAAAAGATTTGTGCGTGCGTAACCCAATTTGTGTGTGTGTAAAAAAATATTTGTGCGTGTGTAAATAGATTTGTGTGTACGTATCAAGATTTGTGTGTGTGTAAAAAGATTTGTGTGTGTGTAAAAAGATTTGTGTGTGCGTAAAAAGATTTGTGTGTGCGTAACTAGATCTGTGTGTGTGTAAAAAAAAAAAATTGTACGCCCCCCTACCCACAAGTCTTTTTTTTACACACAGATCTTTTGACGCAGTCCTGCCTTCGCAGATTTGCAAGCGTAACTTGGATTGTGTGCGTGTGTAAACAGATTTGTGTGTGTGTAATTGGACATTTGTGCCTGTAACAGAACAATCTGTGTGTATGACCACCTTGTACGAAGAGAAAAACGGAAAAAAGCCTAAGTGCTACGCACAGGCTTTTGTTTTACACACAAATCTCTTTTTGACACACTTCTGCCGCCAAGCGTGTCTCAAAAGAGATTTGTAAGTGTAATGTGGTTGTTCTAGCAGTACACCAGCAGATGGTGCTGTTGTAGCTGGTTATACACGCAAACAAACCAAAACCTACTGCCTTGACAAGATACACTACGTCTTCTGGCTGAATTAAAGACACGATCCCAGACTTTGGCTGATTCCTAACATATCTTTAAAAGATTTCAAATTATTCACCATTCTTCTTGCTGGGAGTCATATTTGTGAAGGTTTTCATAGTGGCCCACGTTTTTTTTGTGTCCCCGTTCCTGAAATCCTTTTCAATTGTGTCCTTATACTGTTGTTTTTTATTATTGATCTTCTGTTTTAGCTCTCGTTGTATAGATCCCATTCCTACATGGTCATTGTTTTTAAAATGCAGCCTTCTTACGTATAATGCAGTCCTTTACATCGTTTGTGATTTGTTTTTTGGGTAGAATTTATTGTCTTTTTGGGTATAACAGCGTCAACACAAAAATGTATGACGTTATAACTTCTTTGGATTTACCTTGGTCAGGCTCATGGAAAATCTCCCAGTCTGTACTTAAGTAACAGCCATTCAATGTCTCAATACTTTTGTTTGTCCAAACCTTAACAGTTTTTTATGGTGGGCTTGCTCCTTTTAAGGACAGTGCGATATGTAGGAATAAGGTTGTGGTCAGAGTTGAACACGGGGTGGCTTGGCTTTTGCTGTATATGCATGTTTAGTATTTCCATAGCATTTATCCAGTATGTTGTCCTTCCTAGTGTAACATTTAACGTATTGTTCAAAACCAGGTAGGGAAAAATCCAGTTTGCAGTGATTGAAGTCCCCAAAGATCAGTACTAGAGCTTTGGGTGTATAGTTGCGTTTCCACCAAAGGAGTTCCTGGTAAAAGGAAGGGGGTGGGACATCTACAGGAATCGTCCTCTCACTCTGCCCTCTCAGGCCTTGTTTAGACGGAGACGCTGCGGAGACATTGCAAAGCAAATAGCAAAAACAACCAGGCTCCCGCTTAGCATTTAGACGCAGACGGAAAACCATGTAGTTCTAGAGCCCGGCCAGTAGTGGGCACGCAAACCCCAGCCCCCCAGCAGTATAATCACTTCCTCAACATCTTCCGCAAAAACGTGAAAAAAAGCACCAACATCCTGCATTTAACAGTAGCTGCAAAAATGGAAACTGATACTACAGCTTTGCGTGGTTTCATTTGGACGGACGAAGGAGTAGAATTCTCCTCTGTGTAGCGCTCAAAGCAAAAAGAGCTAGTAAGTTAGCCCGCTGTCATTGTTGTTTACGTTTGTTCTCCAGCTCTACAAGTGAGCTGGGGATGTCAGGATTATGCCAGGTCTCTGTGACAACCATCAGACAGGATTCACGGTACTCAAAGCATGTTCCGGTGAGCACCCTGAGCTCCTCCATCTTACTTTTAAATGAGCTTGCGTTGAAGAGAATCACTGAGGCCATTGGTGGTCTACTTCCCCTTCTCCAAAGCCTTGGTTAAAGCTGTCATTCACCTGCACTTCCTGGTTGCCGTGTAGAGCGGTCGTTTGACAGAAGTTTACAGTGATGAGTCATCCAATGTACAGATTCCTCCCAAATTTGGCCATTGTTCAGAGTTACTCAAACACCAATCACAAATGAATAAGCAGACACTTGACATTGCTAGATAAACAGACTAAAAGGTAGCAGCTCTGCAGTCTGTGGGTCTGCATCATGTATGTTGGCAGCAATAAGAGCGCTGGATTTCACTTCACTTTAAAGGGGACATAACCCAATCCAGTACTCATAATTATAGCCCCCAATGGCTCTGGGGATCAAGGTTTCCGCTCCTTAGCAGACAAAATATATTTCTTTCCATTTTTCCCATGGTGTGAATCCTCCACTTATGACAAATTCAAAAAAGAAAATTGAATAATAAGTAAATAAGACTTGGGGAGGGGCTTGATGTCTGCAGCTGTTTCGGCTATTGTAAATTCTGAGCAATGATTTGAATAACCAGATTCAGAATCTCTCAGAAAAGTGTGAATTGTCAGAAGATGTGAATGTCTTATCTTTGTCTTTACCTTTGGTCCCACCCACTTCTAAGGAACAACTGGACCACGCCTACATGGTGCCCCGTCAGCCAATGGGAGAAGGAGAAGCAGGCGGGTCCCAGGCTGAGGGTTGGAGACACTGCGATGGAGAGCCGAGCCCCTCGCAGAGATCTCTGTCCAGGCTTCAGAGGAGGGACGGACAGATACCGCTCACCTGGAAATGACACAAAAGAATATATCTAATCTATTACAAGGAACATGGTCAATAATTTTTTTTCTAAACTTGTATCCAGGTTATAGTTATCTACACACTCAAAGTTGTTTTAAGAGAGATTCATACATGTCCCATCCGAGCTACGTTATACAGCATATATTAACGGGGACATATTATAATAAAATATTTTTTTAGCATTCGGGAACTGAAGTCATGGGTTCTTGGCTATTGTGTTAGTTGTCTTTGATTGAATCCTACCAGGGTCTGTGATGTAATCATAAAAGTGTGATAAGATAAAATAGACTTTATTGATCTCACACAGGCGGAATTTTCAATGTCACATCTGGCATGGATAGATTCACTTAAGATTGTGCAAAAGAAAGAAATGTGCAAACATGTTAAATGCAGGATAGACTATGGACAATAAAAAGTGGCAATTAAAAAGTGACAATCAAGAAACAGTGTCAATAGTAGTGCAGGTTTTTCAGTCCAAGTGCAAGTGACTTAAAGTGACTTATTGTACAGTCTGACAGCGGTGGGGATAAAGGCCCTCCTCACCTCTTCTACAGTCCTGTGCACTGCGTGGGAGGAGTTGTCCATGATGGAGGTGAATATGACTAGCACCCTCCTGTCCCTCACCTCCTCCACAAAGTCCAGAGGGCAGCCCAGAGTGGAGTTGGCCCTCCTAACCAGCTTGTTCAGTCTTCTTCTGTCCCGCTCTATGCTGCCCGGGGCCCAGCACACGGCAGCATAGTATATGGCAGAGGCTATCACAGAGTCATAAAAAGTCCTTAGCAGAGGCCTGCTCACTCCGAAGGACCTCAGCCTCCTCAGAAGGAAGAGGCGACTTTGGCCCTTCTTGTACAGAGCGTTGGTGTCATGGGACCAGTCCAGTTTATTGTTAATGTGAACACCCAGGTACTTGAAGCTGTCCACCAGCTCAATGTCCTCCCCCTGGATATTCAGTAGCGTGTGGGAAAGTGGTTTTCTCCTGAAGTCGATGACCATCTCCTTGGACTTACTGGTGTTCAAGCACAAGTGGTTGCGCTCACACCAGTCGACAAAGTCTGTGATAATCGACCGGTATTCCAGTTCGTTCCCCTCAGACACACAGCCCACGATGGCGCAGTCGTCGTCGCACTTCTGCAGGTGACAGCTGTGAGTGTCGTATGTGAAGTCTGATGTGACAGTGCCCTGAGGGGCCCCAGTACTGCAGACTACCACCTCAGACTCACAGCTGCGCAGCCGCACGTACTGTGGTCGGTCCGAGCGGCAGCTGATGGTCCATGCAGTGAGGTTACTGTCCACTCCCACGTCCTCCATCTTCCCCTGCAGCAGTGCCGGTCTGATGGTGTTGAAAGCGCTGGAGAAGTCAAAAAACATGACCCTCACAGCGTCCCCCGGCGTGCTCCTAGTGGGAGAGCGTCCGCTGCAGTAAGTAGAGGACGGGTCCTCTTCTCCGACTGGTCTGTAGTGAGCCGGTTCCTTGACGTGCGCTATTTTAGGAACCAGGATCACACAGGAGGTCTTCCACAGGACAGGGACCTTCTCCAGGCTGAGGCTCAGGTTGTAGATGTAGCTGAGGACCTCAGAGAGCTGGTCTGCACAGGTCCTCAGCAGCCTGGGATTGATCCCGTCCTGTCCTGCGGATTTCCTCTGCTTCAGTCGCCTGACTCCTCACCTGGTCTGGTGAAATAGAGGGGGGGGAGTGGGGGGAGACCGGGGTGTACTGTCAGAGGTGGGGGCTGGGGATCTCGGGGCAGGAGGGCCCGGGGCAGCCGAAGGCAGTGTCCATAACACGTGATAAAGATCCCTCTGTGCCATTAGTAATGTTTGAAGCCCCTTGATGTTATACCCACATGAACAATATAAAATAAATACATTTGTTGTAGGTTACTCCAGACTCATTTCATAGCATGTGTATCTGAGGCCAGAGCTCTATTGTGTCTCAATAAACTAAAACCTTCTACAATCTACACAAACTTGTTACAACAGAAACAATGTTTCAACCATGTTACAAAAAACAGCTGGCATTGAAATTAGATCCGTAATGGTAATATCAGGAACTTCTTTTTTTACCTTTTACTCTTGTTTCACTATATACTTTCTACTGAGGATAATATTTCACTTTCTTAAAGTAAATAGACTCAATATAATTTTGACATTTTCGCATGATCTTCAGATGTTCTATGAGAAGTACGAGTGCTTTACCTCGTGGTCCGTGAGATGTCTCCCAGTGCAGGTCACCCTCGCGGTCCGAAATCCAGCTGCACAATCCCCAATCAAACGTGCATTCAATAGCCACCGCATCTGACACAACAGTAGATTTGGATAAATACTTGTTGACGAAATGTTTATATGTAATGTATGTTTCGGAACAGTAAAAGCCGGAAGCTTTTACAGTGCAAAATTTCACACACAAAAAATAGTATAACAAATTTGATTAAATTAAAGCAGTTACAAAAATTAGTAGTCATATATAATACAGAGTTTGTACTGTCTTGTGGTGACAGTTTTTGGAGTAATTACATTAAAACCAGCCGCAGCAAATACACGGACGTCAAAGGCCTTTTATCAATGCAGACAACCCTCTGACGCCATGCTGAGCTTTGTGAAGGTCCCTGCTGTCTGTCACACCCTTGTGTCTTTCCGTCTTGCATCTGTATGACCTGCATTTACATCCATTGTCTTCTCTGCTCACACCCCATGCAAGACACACCATAGGGGGTGGTGCCGGCGCTTCCTGTGTGGAGCAGCCTGTGGCCCCCTCCAATCTGTTGTGGGCGGGACTGACTTTCTTGTTGCTCTGTATACACGAGACTGGGGGCTCGGCCCCCAGAGCTAGGAGATACGACCTGTTGGTATGTGTCTGCTTCTCTCCTCACGCGCGTGTGATTCCATTAAACTTACGCTTTTGATTATGACAAACATCTTTGAGCTTTTCTCCTGCATTGGGGTGTTTTATTCCTCCACAATTTGGCGTTGCTGACATGTCTTGGCATAGACACTTTTGGCGAGGACGAGCGGCTCTGTTTGGCCTACCTGGACGCACCAGCCTCTGCTCTATTTGGAGACAAAGGAGAGGAGAGCATGCTCGTCCTGCGCACGGAAGGAGTTCTTTTTGCCACACAAGACCAAAAGAACCTACTCTGGTGAGTTTGTTTTGTCAGTTTAGTTTGAGCTTAAACAGACAAACAAAGAAACACATGGACAGAGGACAAAGGACCACATGGCCACAAAATGGCCGCCCTACACAATGCTTGCAATTTAACTAATCTGGTGAGTTTGTCTTTTCAACTGCGTAAAGGAGCCCAGGGCTGCGCTTAAGTGTACACGGGGATTTGTTTATTTATGTATTTTTGGGGTATTTCATTCATTGCCACAGCATAGTCTGTGTGCGGGATTTTTTGGGGGGCTTTTTGTTCTAGATTGAAAACTAGCGGCTGCGCGTTAGTATCGTCCTGTAGGCGACCCTGAAAATTTCTCTAAGTGTCTTCAGCCAGACCCGCTCCATTTCAAGAACGCGCGCTCGCTGGTTGAACCAGCGAGGGGGGAATGGAGCGCCCCAAAGTGGGTAGGAGCAGGGAGAGACTAAGCGGGTTAGGCCCATTGTTCGTACGAGAAAATGGGTAAAATCAATCTACAGATGCAAGCTATGAAGTGCTTGCCTATGGTGCAGGCCATCTGTTTTTTTTTTTTTTTTCAATGGAGGCTATATGTCTCCGAATCATTTACGCATCTTGCGTGATAAACTTAGAAGAAGGGAAGAAAAAAAATATACTTGGTTTTAAGAATATCACGGCTAAAGAGGTTAGAGAAAGAAATATGTAAAACAATAGCTTCTCCGCTCTTCACCGAAGCGGAGAAAACACACACACACACACACACACACACATCCCCCCACCCTACCCCCCCCTTTCCCCCTACTAACAATGAGTGTGCACCCAAAACAAGGCGTTGGGTTTTTAAAAAATGAGCAGACTACTTTTCCCTCTTTTTCCTATTTCCCTCAGGTCTGTTGGCGTTTTCCTCTGCGCCCTGCTCTCTGCCCCAAAGCCCCACGCCCCAACCACAGGCGGCGCTAGCACCAGCTGAGACCCCGCGAGAAGTGGGACCAAACCCGGGAGCAGAAGAAGAAGTGGCGGAAGCAGAAACATGCTCAGGAAACCGCTGAAGAAAAAAGCGGGGAAGCTAATATGTGAGACACCGACCACTGCTTTGGAGGCCAGAGACAAACTGCTCTAAATCCCGTGACTGCTCTCCACGGAGGAGGCAGCGTGATATACCAAATGCCCGTGGAAAGTTGTTCCCCCACCGCAAACAGAAGAAGCCATTGAGCACAGGCTGCCCCTGGTCTCTCCAAAGATGTACAGGATGGACCAAAAGTTGTCTCTTGGATTTTTAAATCTGTAGATGCTGTCTGGGCCTGCTGCGGACTTTGAAAGACTTCTACAGCCCGGCTTGAAAGACTGTGTGCTCGATATGCGTCGAAGGTCTGTACCGGAGGAGGCGTTAAAGGCAGAGACACACGGGGACAGAGGACGGCAAGGCAGGGCACGGAGGAAACACGAGCCACAGATCAAACCAACACATTCGTCCAAAGCGACCGCTCATGTAAGTTTTTAAACAAATTGCAATTGGCACTCGTTAGAGATAATTCATGCTGCATTCCCGTATATATATATACGCTAACAATCTGTGGTGTAAAAGTTAAAATTCTGGATGATTATTGGTCCGTTCTAAAGTGAGCGGTCGTTTTACAAAACACAGGGCTTCAGTTAGGGATGGGGAATTAATCGATTTTGATCATCGGTTCGAGGTTTACATTTGGGGTGATTTATTTTCTTTTAAAAATCCGATTTAACTACGTGCTAACCGCGGGTCTGTGGTGTTGAGCAGCCATTTCGAAGCTAACCTAGTGCTAACAGTGTCCCTCTGGCCTGATGCTGATGCTCACAGTTGGTGCTGTTGCTATAACCCTTCAAACGTTCAAGAATCAGAGTTTATTTAAATCGCCAGAGCACACACTCGTGTCCCACTGAGCCGCTGCACTTTGGGGAAGACACGTCTCACACAATGCTCTCATTGCTCTGATACAGACAACGTGTTCCCCGCTAGCTGTTAGCTACATTAGCTGCTACATTAGCCGTTAGCCACAGCATCAGAATGTAAACAGGAAGCTCGCACAATGCGGAAGCCACTGAAGCTAGCATTAGCGCCACCAGCTGGACCGAGCGTGGTACTACAGGGACAGTTGAAAGAACAAGCATGTACCCGAGGAGGCTTTTTTTGAACAGAGTGTCCTTTAGAACATTTCTATTTCGAGTCATCAGTTTTTAAAATTGTGATATTTCATGTACATAATGCATGAGCTTAATAGGATTGATAGATTTGCGAAGCACCTCCTTGTGTGATTTAAGTTATTTGAAAGGTGCATAGGGTCATTGTAAGTGAAGTTATTATATACCTTTAAGCTACATTTTCGTAACAAGAGCTCATTAGAGATATAGGGGACACAACCATTTGTGATAAGCCCAAGTACCACGTGGTAAACACTAAAAGTTGGAAATGGATTTCTTTTTTTTAGGAACTCTGAAAGTTGCAACAATAGAATTAGCTCATGAGAGAATTGTAATTGGACATGGAAAATATAACAAAGTTAAAATCACAGGCCTTTTGTGTGTTACATGTTTGTGTTACATGTTTGTGTGTTATATGTTTTGTGTACGTTATGTGTTTGTGTGTCATGTCAAAGTACACTACGTGACCTTAACAAACCCTGGACCAATACTAACGTGGGAACCGGCCTGTGATGTGACTGGGATGTGAGTGTGATGTGAAATGAGGAATGCTGAACGGAGAATGGAATTACAAATGTGTCTGTAATGCGTTACTGTGATCATGGAATAATTATTTTTGTCAACAGCATACGGTGTAAGTCAAAGATAATAAGCTTTATTGAACAGGTGTACAAGTGAGAGTACTCTGGGATGAGTACTCTGAGGAAAGTACTCTGCGGAAAGTACTCGGAGATGAAATATGAAGATATTGGAAGTTCCTCCCTGTGCTGTTTGTCCTGACAGCGACACAGTCCAACCGCAGTGAGCTGTCGTTGGCTGAAGGACAACTTGGTTTGTAAACTCACATTTAGGGAAGTATAAAATTAGAAATATACATTTTGTTGTTCTGTATTTGGCTACAGCCTCTGCCCTGATGTCAAACACCGTCTGTCAATGCAGTTATGTTTTGCCCAATTGGAAAAAAGATTGACAAGCGAAAGTGGGCATTTTTTTGTGTTTTTTGTGTTCTAATATTTCTTTTTCAGATGAGAGATAAACTACCCCTGCTTTAGGGATGAAAGTAGTATGGACCATGAGGAAATGAGCATCTACCTGGGCACCAAAGCCCACAATATGAATTGAGGACGATCCGGGACAAAGCAACTGGAGATGAACGGAACAGTCGGTACTTTTGCAGTCTCACGGAGGGCCACAGACCCACTGCTTACTTCGATGCCGTGGCAGCAGGATTGCCTCGCTGCCTGCAGCCTGTGGCTGCCGCTGAGAAAGCGGCCCTAGCATCACGTGACCTTGTGGGATACACTGAATTAACTTTGCTTGTGCCCCATGCTGTGTCCCTGATCCTGCTAGAGCAGAGGGCCTCTCGCCTTTCTGCGGCTCGTTGGCTGGGGTACAAAGGGGAGACGCTGCTGTATCGCCACAAGAGAACAGAGATGCACTCCCAGGCCAGACCTGAAAGAGGCGCCTCTGACTAATCCTGACTTGATTGTTGTTTATACAGACGGAGCCGCGTAACGTGACAACACTGGGAAGAACCGAGTCGGCTATGCTGTGTGTTCTGATTTTGATACTATAGACTCTGGTTGAACGGCTGCTGACAGCTGTAATGTTTGCCCTTAGAGATCGCTGTATGCAAATGCCACTGAGGGCCACAATAATGCCACTGATCCCATCTCTGCAGGGAATCGGCGCGCGGACAAGGCAGCGGCATACGCACCTCTACACACACACACACTACCTCACTCAAGACGTTGATATTTTCTACTCCAGCAGAGACGCTGCTGTGAGAGGGGAATGGGGCTCAACGACGGCATGGTGTGTGTGGCTGGGACCAGACAGCAAACCGTGCCTACCACGGCATTTCTTCAGACAGTTTGCAATTTTAGCACATGGTCGAGACCAGCCCTCAAAAGGATGGAGATGTTATTTAAGGATCACACGCAAAAATGGTGATACAAAGGGGTTTACGGCATTTCAAGAGATTCAGCCAACATGCGCTACTAATTCCCC